GGAATAAAATTTAAGAGAAATTTTTAGATAGAAAGCTAAAATCTAGAAGGAAAAAAGAAAAGAGAACAACAAAGAAGAAGTTGGGAAAAGAAGACCTACAAACCTAGTAGACGAAAAAAGAAGAATCTGAGCAGACCATTCAAGGCTTGAAAGTAAAAAGACCAAAGGAAGGCCCAAGATATTTTGAGAAAAAGAAGGCTTATAGGAGAATATACTTAGAAAAACCTGGTAAAAGAAGCTTCCAAGAAGTCAGAAATACTACGGCTCGGCATTACAAGAAAAAAAAACTATCGAAAAGAATACAAGAAGACTCTTGTAAGCTAGGTCGCTTATTAGTTAGGACAAACTCAACTAGAAGAAGAGGAGGAGGAAATATAAATATAGACGAAAGAATTTTGACAACTTCTCTTTATTAGAAGATAGGATAGAATTATTTGTTAAAGAAAAATTAGGTTTAGATTATTTTAAAAAGGAGAATAGTTTAGTAAGGGAAAAGTGCCAATTAGACATAGTTAAAATTTCTTTCAATTTGAAACTATCTTGCTATAGTTTTGCTGGCTAGCTTGGTATAGCCTTCAGGGTGGACAATAGCCTTATCCGGTGAGGCAGACCGCATTTAGACATCCTTTGGAGCAGCCGAGTGATATCAGATCTGTAGTTTAGATAGTAAATATATGTATATTTATACTTTAATCTAATAAAGATACCAACGAGGCTGCCAACATGTTAAAAAAAAAAAAAGTATATATTAGTTTTTTTAGTCAAATATACTCTATATATATATATAGATTTTTATAATTATACTGTATAAATAGTTTTTATTTAGTTAGAAAATTTTTTTATTTATAAACAAGTTTTTTTAGATTTTAGAATAATTTTTAAATTCTTTTATAATTTGAGTATTTTTTTTATATATTTGTTTATATATAACCTTTTTTTATTTTGTTTATATTTTTTTTTTACTTTTCTATAAAAAAGTATTATTAGATTAGTAATACTTTATTGTAATTTTGATAAGATTGTTAAGAACCATCTGTTAATAATTGGGGCTCATATCTTTAAAAAGTTAAAAATCTCAAAAAAAGAAAATATTTATTTAGACAAGTTACAGTCAAACCCCTCTATAGTCACCTCCTCTATAGTCACAAAATTGGTATAATTACAAATTTATTTTTACCAATTATTTTATAACTATATAGAAAATACCCCTATATTAGTCACATCTCTTTACAATCACAGTTTTTTGTATCCCGAAGGTGTGACTATAGAGGGGTTTGACTGTACTTCTAGACAAGGTGCTAGTATAAAATTATAATGTTTTACTACAATAATGAGATAGATTAAAAAAATCTTTATTTGTATAAATAAAAAGCAGTTAATAGTATAGATAATGTAGGCTTAGCTAACTGAGACTTGCTGTAAATTGTTACCAATTTAAAAAATAAAAGTAGAATTGCTAAAGTAAAAAAAAATAATAATAATCTAGTATTAATAGTAAATTTGAATTGTTTTTTAAATATCAAGATTATTGTTTTATTTTTTAAATATATATAATTAAAAATTTATAAATTATTAAAATAATATATTTATTAAATAAGTATTGGTTTAACAAAAAACTTAAAATAAATAGTTAAACCTTAACAGTATTTTATTTCTGTAATAAAAAATCATAATATTATATAATTTTTATAAGTTTTCTATATATATATATATATATGTTGTAAGTGGAATAGAATCATAATAGAGTTCGGAATCCACTTAGATTAGAATGGAATATTATGAATAAAATATAGTATAGATGACACTTTAATAAGTAATTAAGTAGGTGTCACCTATACTTATATTTTATCCTAATTATACTAAAAATCCCAACCCTAACCTTAAAAATTGAGTACATCATAGATGGAATGAGAATACGTCTATTGGCATCGTATCACTGCATTCCGTCCGGATCAACTTCACCTTGAGAATGTTACCACCTTTAAAATGTTACGTAACTACAACTTTTTTTCACCTTTTTTTCACCTTTTTTTCACCTCAGAACGATGTTTATTTTTTTATCTTTTATTTATGCAAAATAAAATAACAAAATACGAGCATGGCTAGTAGGTGCTTATGGATGATAGTTTATTATTAGCAAATATAATTTTTTGAGGTGTAACCAACTAAGCCGGCTTCTAAGCTTATAAATTTTTTAATCGGCTACATAGGATCCGTCAATTTGTGTATACTTTCAAGGTTAAAAGTAGCGTTTCTGTTATAATTTGCCCAGAATTGTGAAAGTACCACAATATCACGATTGTATTCATTTATTTCCTAAAAATTTAATCATTATGTGAAATAAAAATTAAAATAAAACGCGAAATTTAAATATTCACAAACCAGAATTCGACAATTCATGTCTTCTAGAACATCGTTTAATTTTTTCTTTGTAGAAATAATGGCATTTAGAACCTTGTTTGGTAAAGAACCGCATTAACAACTCATTTACTTACTACGTTAGAGACAATTCTACTTAATAACATTTTTTGTTGTTCTTCGTGAGGATTTTCAACGCTTTTAGTAGTCATTATCACTGGAAATTAAAACTTTGCTAGACGTGCAGACGTGTCATAGCTATCAAAACAATCGAATATGCAGATATGCGTAGTATAGATCTAAACGTGATCATAAACCAATCAAATTGATCGTAGTTGTTAAAATAACTATATAGATCGAAATAAATAATTTCTCACAATTACATAAAGGTACTTGACACAGTGTTGAAAGACATTTGTGTTATGCGTTTTTTGAAGCTGAAATTCGATTGATCGAAAATTCACGGAATTAATAAAAGAGAATCATACAGAAAGCATCAGTATGTTGATTTAAGTTACTTCCGAATTTTGATGCAAATTTCATTCTAATGCATTTTATTTCTTGGTGATATTTACTAGGCCGCTTTGGCTGAGCTTTGTAGGCTTGCTGAATCTGGTAGCGAACCATATAAGGTGCAAATAATATTTAATGGTTGTTGGTTTGCAAAGTAGTGATAAAACAACTTTTGCAAATGTGCAGTATGTTATCATCTACCATGTTTTTTTTTTTTCTTGTGAATTCTGGAAATATTTAATTTTATAGTAGTTGGCGTACCATTATTTATGCAAAGATGTGCTGATACTTTTCGTTCTAGTGCATTTGATCAAAATGCTACTAAGGCAAAAATAACGTATGATGGAAGGTTCGTTAATCAGATTTTTCATTTCAGAATCTTATAAACTATTCTTGTTATTAACATTTTTCTGCTTATAATAGCTACACTGAAACTGGTAGCTCACGAAGGTGTTGGAAATTTTAAAATGATGGTTTTGTAATAATAATTTGCTAAGATTGGCTATTGATGAAATTTGGACTAAATTTTTAAAATTTTTTTGGGCTAAGATTTAGGGTTAGAGTTTATAATAAAAGAGCATGTGTGGATTTTAGGAGGGTTTATATTCTCAACTCGAGACCCAAAAATTTAGCATATCCTTTCAGATGTTTCCTTGTGGTATTGCAGGTGTTAACAATATGATGTACAGATCATTAATTGTATTTCAAGCATCATCGTGTCATTATTGCACGTAACATTATTTATAGATAGGTGATTTGAGAGGTATGCCAAATGTAAATATAAAGTAAATGGGTCTTTGTGGTATGCTAAATATGGGAATTTGACGATAACTTTTGTAATTTGTTATACCAACTTTTAATGATATCATTGTTTTTAACCGTTTGAAGTAATTTACTTGTATTAAAATAATATAATATTTTTATTGCCGCTTTTTTAATGAAAAATTTCTTGAACTAAAAATAGAAGTAACCATCTTTAATTTTTTAATAACCATTATAAATTCTCATAAACCAAACACATATGCCAAAATACTACTATTTTGCTTCTTTGCTCCACCTTTATGTAGAGAATTAAAAAACCAACACAGAATGTCAATTGGATTATTTTATTCAGTAAGTTTAAATCTTTATTACTGGCATTGAAAATTTCCTGAAATAGTTCGTGAGGACTAATTGGCCCTTAAATGATTGAGGTTTCAAATTTTCGAACAAGAATGCTAAATTATTGCACAAATAAACGCAGAAATTTAGATAGAATAGGAATAGATAATAATCAGAATAAATAATTACCCAACTGAGTACTATTTTTTAAATTTTTGAAAGATGAAATAATCTCTAAGTGGAGGAATATGCGCCAATTCTTGTATTAACACATTAATATATTTGCTTTTACATTATTAAAGCCCACAAATCCTAATGGGAAGAAAAAAATTAATCAATGAAAATATATTTAATAGTGTTAAATATTTCTTATTATTCGAATTATGAGTGTTCAGCGAATGTTGGATGAAGCACATATTGGTCCCATACGGTAAATTTATGATGAACACGAAATACTATACGTATTAGAATGTCATACCTTTATATCATTCAAGGAAGAATCTTTATTTCATACCAACATATAGCTTAAAGAATCAAGAAAAAACTTGATCAAATAATACATTACCTAATAATAAACTACATCGTTTGTAGTTATATCAATTATCGACACAAATTAGTTATAATCTTATGCATTTCAAACTTAAATTTCAGTCTGACGCAACTTAGTTTTTACATACTTATCGAATAGACTTCCCCTCTTGCAAAGTGCATCCACTAACGCCCTTCCTCCTTATAATCCAAGATTATTCAAACCAGAGTTTAAGAAAATCAGTGTGAAAACGCATCTGCTAATACTTCACTTGCCCAAATTATTAACATGTGTGTTTTCTATCCAAGATCCTCAAAAAAAAAATCAGCGTGAACAAGATAGTTCAAATGAAGATTCGAATAAAGTTAACATGTACTCTTGTAAAGTTCATCTGCCAATGCTTCATCCAAGTTTATTATGCGTCTGCTAATACTTTCCCCTTTCTAATCCAATTTTAATCAAAAAAGCCGGTGGAACAGTGCCTCCGTTAACGCTTTTCTTCTGATCAAAGTTAATAATTCAATTAAATCAGGGAGTGCTTCACAATGTGTTTTTTTTATTGCTTTTCCACTTCCCGCTTGCAACGCATATACAGAATAATATAAAATAATTTTATTATTTAAAACATTAAGACAATATTACATAACAAATATAATCTATATAAATCCTTTCTAACCTCTTATTATAACGCTAACTCTAACACTAAACTAAAATTTACTCAAA